TAGAGTTATTTGATCTTATCTATGTTAGTGTTTGTGTTTTTTTGTTTGTTAGGGTGTCTTAGTCCATTGCTGTGATCTTTGTTCGAGGGTTATCGGTTTGTGTTAGCCAGGGGTGGTGTGGTTGAGTCTTCAAGGTGTTCCAGGCCGTATACTGTCCGCTATCTGATAGCCAATGGATATTCCTCTAGGATGTTCTCGATCTTTTCTGGATGTTTTTCCGTGGTATCCTCTTGGCGCCTCTGCAGGGCCTCCTGGGGGTGGTCAGGATGCCGATGGACGCGGCGTTGAGGCTTCTCATGGTTCTCGATGCGTATCGGCTTTGGAGTTCCTGAAATCTCAAGTTGATTGGGGTAATATATATTCGGTTATATAAGTCTTGGAAGGAATATCGTATGGGAGGTTTTGGATATTTCTTAGGATTCTTCTCTCGGTTCTTAGTGTACGGAGGATTTGTCTCTGGGAGAAGGTGCAGTAGATCTTATAAACATTTTGTAAGTGTATAAGAGACTCCTACTGTCGCATCTACCGAGCGCCACTCACCGCTTTTAAGGAGCTTAGCCCTTTTTCCGGACTCTGTCCAGGGTTTCCAAGTCTTGGAGGTGGAGGTTCTCTCCCAACAGTCTGAGGTTCAGTTTGGGACGGGTAATGGTAGTAATAGTGATGTCTAAATAGGATGGTTTAGGTTTTAAGGAAGTTTATTTTGATGTGCCACTTGTTACACCAGTGCTCAAAGTGGTTTATCATTATTTGGGATTGTTTTTGTAGGATGCGGGTGCTGGTGGCGGAGGAGTAAAGGATTGTGTCATCTGCGTATTGTAGGATTTTATGAGTGGAGGGAGAGTCGTGCACATAGATTAGGAATAGAGAGGGTGCTAGGACTGAGTCACTTATTCAAAAATCGATATGTATTCTCCACTGCGTCTATTGTTATTTCTGTCGATCGAATAGCTTGTCAGTATTTCACAGGTTATGGAATTTTTATGTATATATACCATGGAGGCAAACATGTTATTATTATTTTCGTTTAGTGTCGAAAATGGAATTGCTCTTTAAGAGCTGTTCAACAAAAGTAAAGCGAATGTTCATAATACTACTCCAGACTTATCCTATAGAGACACGATTTTTAAAAAACAAAAAACTCCCATTGACTAATTCGAGACCAGACGAGAGATGATACGCTCATGTCTTGGTGACAACGTTAATTTATGATAATTTTAAATTCTTGGTTCATATCGTACTTTTCCAAAATATTCAGTTTACTCGGGAAATTATAATTCAGATTGCTAGTAACTAGTAACTGCATACTTCAAAATACATACACTCTGAGCAGAATCCAACAAATTGTATGGAACAGAGCAACCTGGATATCTGATGAATTTTGTAGTGAACTGTCAAATATCAATCCATTTGTCCTAGTCTCCTAATTTGATTTGTTAAATGAACAACAGACATGTTCAGTTCTAATTGAAACATTGGTTTGAATTCAGTATCGAACGGTCGCTCAATAAATGAGTAATAATAATGTCAAACCTCTCTGAGAACTGAAACCGCTTCATTCAATAATAGTATAATACCATTCAACGAACAAGAAATAAGATCATTACTTGTAAAAATGAAATTTGTCGACGCGAGCGTCGTAAATCTGTCAAGAAAGTAATGGCCAATTTTTGAGAGTAGAATACTACACTTTTTCTATGACTTCCAAATCCTGTTATATCCTGTTATATCACATTTTTGAGATGGGAATTAGTCTTTTCCATGTCCTTAGTATAAGGTTATTTCAAAAGATCTATCCCTTGTAATGTCATGTGTTTTTGTACCTTCATATGTCAATGAATATTTATTCTATTGTGTCGTGTTATATACTGATCGATAGAGAATTCTGTACCCTATACATTGATGCTGTTAATTTTCTTCAAATTGTATTTTTTGCATCTTTTCAGCTCATGATAAGCGATTTTCGACCAATTTTTCTCTATGAATTGAAACTGAATCAAAGCGCTGCCGAAACAGCCCAAAAATTAACCAGGCATTTGGCAATAATAGTGTTAATGAACGCACTGTTCGACGTTGGTTTGCGAAATTTCGTTCTGGAGATTTTAACTTCGAAGGTGGAGATTTTAGCTTCGAACGGTTCTCCACCGTTCTCCGAAAGGTGGAGAACCGAATAGATCCACTCATTTTGGACCCAACCCAACCTAACCCTGCTTAAAAATGTTACTGATTTCGAACAATATAATGAAACAAAAATAAAAAAATAACATAATCAAATCGGAGTGTTTCTAATGTTTCTAATGATTTCCAAAGATTTACATATTTGTTGATGCTACTAATAAAAGAATCAATCCAATAAATCACGGGTTGGAAGTTTTCAGATCGTTTCCCGATATAAGAACATCTGTTTTCACGAACGAGACACAATTAAAAACATCCATGCTGGTAACCCGTGGTCGAATGGAACCTGAACTACCAAACGTTTCGTCTGCTACTGCGACAGATATCATCACTGGTATTTGCATTGACTACGAGAACAGATTCAGTTCGTCTACGACCCACCATCCCGTATATTGTTCTCTTCAATCGTTACAGGGTATTTTGAAAACTATTCAATTTTCAGTGTCTTCTTATATGGATACTTCAATATCATTTCATCAAATACCTACATCTAGCATTCTAGCTCTTGATTTTAACTGTTGGTTCTGCTTGTTCGTAAATGTAATCAACAAAATGATGCTCAAAAGAAATTATTATACGTTTAATCCGTCTCAAACTGAAGCACATATTTTATTCATTGGTATAATCAGGAGAAAACGCATTTGATGTCTCGATGGGGTATCAACATGATGCAGCCATTTGAAGCCGTGGAATAGCTTTCTGTGCACGAATATCTTTAAAGTGAAAACATTTAACTTCGCCAGAGGTTGATTCCCATTACTTCCAGGCATTTCGCATGATTTCGCGAAAGATCAAAGGTTGACTAACGGTTAATCTATGAAATTTAGTATTGAAGTAATTAACTTTCGATAATTGCTCGCAAGTTCGACTATCAAGTACAGTTGTGTTGTGGGAACTTCAAACCATTCTTCTGGGAACTGATTCACACTCTATCAATAATATATGGATAGACGTGGATTTTTCAAATTCCTGTTTCCAGGTTGCTCGCAACACAATTGATTACTTGCTTATCAGCACAATGCATAGTTAATTTCACATTTTCCTTCACTGTGAGTGTGCATTTTTGGAATGGTCCGTATGGAAAGAGATAGTTGAAAATAAAAAATAAGCAAGACTCTTCTATTTTTCACATTTTCCTGAAAATATCTAGTACTTATACCTGAAAAATCAACCAGAAGAAAAAACTTTTCCAAAATTATGGGTTAACAACCACAGTTGACTCCTACCGAGTCAAACGTTCACTTTTGTTGTTGAATAATAGGCATAACCTCTGTCATTTCGATCGTTTTTCTACAATACCGCGGACGTTTCGAAGCGTAATTGAAGAGCGGGACAACATGAATTCGTACAATTGACGAATAAATCTGTCACATTAATGTGGTGTACATTTTATTAAATTTTGAAATGGATTTTCATTGCAACATGGCCCAATTCCAATTGATATATTATCAATAACACAATATCGATGCACACAGCTTGATAAGGATATGAATAGTGAATCGAAAGGTAAAAATTCATTGGAACGATTGCTTGAATTTTTACACACGAGGACAAAATAAAGTCGTTAACAAACTCGGAGGTTTTAATTTTCATTGTCCTTGAATATAACCAGGTTTAAAATTCAAAATGAAATAGAAAAATCTTATCTGTATCGATTATCGAAGATCATAGACGAATATTTTTCCTAGACCAGTATTAAATTTCATAAATTCAGCAGCCTACATTTTAGACAGATAAAAGGACAACCCTTCTCCATTGTGCTGAATTCAAACCGTCTATATACAAAAGGGCAAGCACATAAATTTCGATAGAAAAAATTTATCGAATTAATAAATAATTTGAGTTGGAATTAGAAGGTATGAATTAGATATGTCACATTGAAGTTTGTCATGAATTAATAAATATCAAGTAATTCTTTATCTTCTTGATTAATTTACCGACACTTGATGGATATCCATAATTACTAGGAATTAAATGAAAAACACTTTGAATTGAAGGGGTTATATTTTTGGGAGTAATTAATCCTTGGGAAAGACAGTTTTTTTGCTTTCTACTCCTCTATCTCGATACAAAAAAAAAGATGAGGAATCTTCCAAAGAAAGGAAGGAAGTAATCAATTTGAAAATAAGTAACTCTATACATGGATATGTAGATCATGCAAAGAAGTAACTTTCAGACACAAACTGAAAGAAAGTCTTCCAGCTACTTTCATATAAACATTGAATTACACTGTCATCCTCACTGGTATAAATCGATGTTTCGCCGTAAGACACTTGCCCTAAGGTTCTTCAGTACCAAATTGGATAACATTATAGAAAATACACACAATTTATTAATGAATTACGATTTTTAATGTCACTAAATAAGTTTGATCTGCTTATGTTATCGATGACATCGTAATGATATTCATCTTTTTTTTTTCTTGTATCGAGATGGAGTAGTAAAAAGCCTAAAACTTTCTTTCCCAAAAAGAAAAACACTTGTTTTTTTAATATCCATAATATATTACCACTTGTAATATGTGACGCGTTTAGTTATTCCTATAGATTTCTCAAATAAAAATGGTATTCAGTAAATGTACAGACATATATTTAGTAGTTTAAAATTAGGTAAATAGCAGGACTTATTAATTTTAAATAGAAAGCCTGATATTCAACAGGTAGTTTTTTTACTATAGGAAATCCATACAAAGTTGCCCTCAGTTATATCAGATATATGCAATTAATTATTATTGAAGAGCTTAAGGAGTGGTGAAAGGTTGACGTCTAATTGGTCATTTAGTAAATTATTGGATTGATTTCTTTTGTTGATCTCGAGTTCTAAAAATGTGTTGTGTTGAGAAAGATTTTAATAACTCCTTCACTCACACGGTCTATAGGAAACCATCACTCATAAACAGATACCTCAACGCAAACTCCCGCCATCATCCAGCACAAACCAACTCCGTCTTGAATTCTCTCGTCCATAGATCTATCAACCTCACAGACTACCACAACAAACCACAAGAGCTAGCCCAACTCAAATCAGCTCTCCGTCAAGATGGATTCACAGACCATCAAATTGACAGATCCATCCGTCGTCAACAAACTTCTTCGTCCAGTCCCAAAGATCCAAAAGGCAATAACGTTCTCCAGAAAGCTTTCCTTCCCTACATCAAATGTGTTACTGACGAAATTGGCCGAATTCTCCAAAAACAGGACATAAAAACGATATTAACAGCCAACAATCAAATTTACACATTCCTCCGTTCTCCCAAGGACAAAGTTGTCAATTAATCCCAGGGAATATATAAAATTCCATGCTCCGATTGCGATAGAACATATGTAGGCCATACCAACAGACGTGTGATAAGTAGAGTATGCGAACATTAACTTGCTGTCCGAAAGTCAGACACATCCTCAGCCATGTCCAAATATCATCATGATAAGGAACACAACATAGACTTTGCGAACACTAAGATCATCGCCACAACAAAAACACTACACTACAAGCTCGCATAATTCGCGAGGCCATCGAAAAGCGACTTTTCTGCCTGAACAAACGTGATGACAATCCGAGACTTCCAACTGCCTGGAAACCCATAATTTCCCGATGCTCACCACCCACCAAGACGTCAGGAAATGTTAATCACCCGAAGCCCTGCCCCCACCTTTCCAATTCAGTAACTTACGTCGATATAAATACCACAGAACACCCATCGATACTCCAGTTCAATCTAAGGAGTAGGCAGATTGAGACCTTAGACAGAACTCGTGACGAGACCTGAGCAGTAGGCAGATTGAGGCCCCGGCGTCAAGACACATCAAATTCTTGAAAACGGCTCCAAAATGAGAGCCGAAACGTCGAATACAAAACTCCAGAAGCGATTCAACCCGAACTCAAGGACAACAGGAAAAAGGTTAATACAGTCAAGCTGCTGGAAAATAATTTCATGAAAAACAAAAGATAATAGATGAGTAGTATTCTGATCATTCCCATATTGATTTCAATTTAAAAGCCACCAGTAGACAGCTGTTTCAGCCTATTGGGCATCGTCAGTACCATGCAGGCGGTTCTCGATTGAAGATAAAATGTGAATAACCAAGAAAAGTACTTAATAAAAATTACTACGTTAACACAGTTATTTTTACATATGTATACACAGCATTATAAATTTGAACCACTTCTTCGTCATGAACATCACTGATGTCCTATGCAATGTCTGTTTGTGTTCAAACAGGTAACATTGCTTATTGTGGAGGGATTTTAGGTGTTATACTCGTAATGTATCAACATTTGTGTATGTCGTGTAATTTAGTGAGAGGCACTGACTTGGGAGTAGGTGTTTGGGACGCTGCGTTTTTCTGAAATGTTACTTTATTTTACTCTTTCTTATATTCCCTTTGGTAGAATAAAAAAATAATAAATAAAAAAATATCCAAGGGTATCCAAGCCAAAAAAGATGCTGCACTGCAATAAAGATATATATGATTGAATGAAAAATGAGATTGCTTTGGGATCATTAGTTGCGAAAAGCAATTGTTTTATTATTTTTGTCACCTAGAGCCCGAAATAATTGAATGTTTGTGTACCAATCGAATAAAAAATATATCTGTCCTACAATCTAGATCTGTACTTCTGTTACTTCTGAACAGATGAAATTAGAGATTGATGATAAGTTAGACTGAGTTGAATGATTTATCATACTATTTAATGGATTTTGAAGTTATTTTCCGTTTGAAATGAAATACCAATGTTTGTTCACCTTGCTTGAATTGTTGTAACAATAATTCGATTTTCAAAAAATTACCGAGTACTTCGCCATGTTTGAATATATATCGAAAATATGTAGCTTATATCTTATTTATGTTTGCAAATAAATATTTTGTGGGAATCACTTTCAGATATATATAATTTTTGAATAACCCTGTACTGTTCTAATTGACGTGTGTTTTCAATTCCATACGACTCATTTCATCCCAATGATCTATATCTCTTTCTTGACAAAAACCAATTTTCCAATGAAATATTACATCTTAGATTCCTGTTATCGATATGGAGTTCGAATCGGCAGTCCATTGAATATTTTCATATTGGAATGATTTTCCTACGTAGCAGTATATCAAAAAGAAGAAGGAAATTAAACGATAATATAAATTTCAGACGGGAAATATTTTCCATCTGAACCTATTTTCGAATGGATTTATCATCGAGATTATTCGTATACGAGTATGCTCCATTTTTCAGTCGTCATTTCTGGTAAATCACTTCGAAGGTGTAGAAAAAAATTATTGGAATTTGAATGCACCAAAAAATGTTTATCATGAAAAGTCGAAATATGTTGGTAGATTTGTTTGTGAGATTAAATGTGTTAGAAAATTGGTCCAAAACATTCCATTGTGTAAAACAATTTTTTTAAAAGACAAAAGACAAGCACTACAGGAAAATCGTTAAGGCGCTCAAAGATCGGTACCTGTGCGAAAGTAGCGAAAGTAGTTTCTTCCACAAAAACGCACTTCTCCAAATGAAAGAGTTCCTAAACAGTGAAGTTCGAGGTGTACTGAGTTGAACTTCAAAACGATGAGTCCATCGCGTATTTTTGATAGGCTTGGTGGAATCAAATTTGTCAAGTCACTTGAACACTTCCCGTGAAAGTATCTATAGAAGAGAATATCAAAATGTGTTAGAAAAGTGGTCCAAAACATTCCATTGTGTAAAAAAATTTTTTTAAAGGACAAAAGACAAGCACTACAGGAAAATCGTTACAGCGCGCAAAGAGCGGTACCTGTGCGAAAGTAGCGAAAGTAGTTTCTTCCACAAAAACGAAGTTCTCCAAATGGAAGAGTTCCTGAACAGTGAAGTTCGAGGTGTACTGAGTTGAACCTCAAAACGATGAGTCCATCGCGTATTTTTGATATGCTTGGTGGAATCAAATTTGTCAAGTCACTTGAACACTTCCCGTGAAAGTATCTATTGAAGAGAATATCAGTTTTTTAAAACAAACTCGTTGAATATTTACCATAGCTTTATTGCGATTTCTTATACTATTTCTCAATTTTCCATTTCATTTATAAATTGTCGGTGGATACTATTCTTATCTATTCCTAAAACGAGTTCCACGAAACGTAGTGAACATCGAGTTGGGGTAGAATCAACATTCATAGAACGGTCGATTGAATAACTAGAACGAACCACTCACGCTTATCGATCAGGACCTTGACAGTGAATAATTTTTTTTTATTTAGAAAAAACCGCATCAGCCGTAGCTATTAGCGGCAAACATATAAAATATATTTGAAACATGCAGTTGTTTACATTACAGTTTAAATAAAAGGTTACATTCTTTAAGAAATTGAACAATATTGTTGGTATTGCAATTTTAGAAAATTTCACTTAGTTTGGAGGAAATTTTATTGTTCAGTCTCTCAACTGTGAATAGTGGGCACTCTACCAGAACATGCTCAACAGTCACAAGCACTGCACACGCGAAACATTTTGGTGGCGGTTCTTTCCTCAATAGATGTTCATACGTAAGGCGAGTGTGGCCTAGTCGTAATCTGGTAATTATGAAATGATGGAAGCGGTTTGTTGATTTATTGTTCCAAGGATATAATGTAGCCTTGATTTCCTTAAGTTTGGAAGGTTTTTGAGACCAGTGAGTGATTCCACATTTCTACAATTTTGCTTTTTCCGTCAAAGCTTCTTTCGTTACTTTTTCGTCTGTGTTCTTGTGAATTTTCCCTTTTCAACATCCAACAGTAGTCTGCCATCATGTTAACATTCCACCGACCTTGGTATCTGCGTTCCATTTCTTTTATGTCTTGATAAAACCGTTATCCATGTTTCTCACTTACAGCCCCTAGATTTTCGGGAAAGTAGTCTAGATGTGAGTGAAGGGTATGGACTTTGACACTCATGTTGCAGCCCAACATTTTGTAGTATTGTATCAATTCAGCAACCAAAGTTTTGTAGTTTGGGTCTTTTTTGTTTCTAAGAAAGCCATTTTAGTGACAAAGCTTTCATCTCTTCAACAAAGACTCCTTTTTTTAGTTTAGCATCGGATAGACCAGGAAACTTTGCAGAAAGATACTTTAAACAATCTCCTTCTTCGTCTAATGCTTTCACAAACTGTTTCATTAGCCCCAATTTGATATGGAGTGGTGGAACTAAGAATTTTTTAGGATCCACTAAACTCTGTTTTTTGACATTTTCAACTCCAGGAATAAGACCCTTTCTTATTGGCCACACCTGCTTGACATAGTGTTGTTTTCTGTCACAGCTATCCCATACACATAAGAAACTTGGAAACTTAGTGTAACCACTTTGTTGACCTAGTAATATTGAAATAACTTTCAAGTCTCCAGAAATGGTCCACTTATGATAAGAGGAGATGAGTTTATTAAGAACAAATTCAAGATTTTCATAGCATTCTTTCAAATGGACTGAGGGTCCAACAAGCACAGAAGTATATTGGTTTCCATTGTGAAGAAGTACAGCTTTCAAACTTCTTTTTGATGAATCGATGAAAAGTCTCCATTTCTCTGGTTCATACGTTATGTTGAACATTTCCATGATGCCGGGTACATTGTTGCAGAAAACTAGGTCACTCTCTTGTGAAAAAAAAGGGACAAATTCCCTTTCTCTAAATCGGTACCATGAAATTCATAATTCAGACTCAATTTACCGCTATATAATACAGAAACATCGAACCCATACCGAACCTAAAAACTCATTTAATAAGAACATTTCAGGTGAAATTTGTGACTTATCTATAGGTGATAGATTTTTTTTTACTATTTTTTCCGTAATCTGCACACAAAATATGCTACAAAGTTTTCATCGCAGACCTGTGTTATTTATAACTGAAAAGGCAAACCAGAATTCTTGCTGTTCCAAAGATGTTGAATTTATACTTGTAGTCATTCAAATATAATTGAACTTTGCTTCGATTCTCAATATATTCTACTAAGAGTTCTTGTACTGTTTGTCAAAGATTCCAAAGGTCCAATATTAAAGAACCCCTGTTTCCTCATAAGATACCACCCATTCCATTCTATAAAATAGGTATGGATATTCTTGAATTTCGTAATATCCACTATTTAGTCATAGTGGACTACTATTCTAGATGCCTAAATGTCTAGATGTCTAAAACCAATTTTTGCCTCTTATGGAATCCCCAAAATCATAGTTACTGACAATAATTCATTCAGCTCTTTTGAATTTGAAAAATTTTTAGACCAGTGGAGTTTTGTCAGAACTACATCGAGTCCCCATTATCCCAAAAGTAATGATCTTG